TTCGGCGGATATTCAAGGTGTACAGGTACTCCCATTCTCATACTGCACAGTACTCCGTATAGGATATTTGGCGGGGTCGTCCCACTCTAATGAGATACTCCGAACTCCGATACTCCGAATGGTGCAAACGCCATGTATGTATGATATGATACAAGGAAGATCCGGTGAATGACGGTTTATCAAACCTTCAGACACCTTCCAGCTTCCAATCAGTTGGGATTTTGGGAGTCTACGTTTCGATTGTTTTTGCGATCATGGTGGCACGCGTCTGTGTCCGTTGAAACCCGGTGTCATCTATATGACCATGAGTGATTGTATTGATACAAAGATGGGATGTTGTATAAGCAAATGAATTTGTAACACATGGAGAAAATCAAAGCCGATTATGCGTCCTTACCCAAATTCCCTCCGAGCCCACTTTTTCCTCCTCTGCCTGATTATCGCACCTCCTTCCACAGGGTGCCCTGGCAGTGGGAAATGGCAACCGTCGACGGCATACTATTGCCTCGAGGTGACGTGGGCGAGAATGGAGGAAACTACGCTCTTTACACTGGAGCTGGTGTTGTTTCTTCGTCTGAACATGCTGATAGTCAAACATTGAAGTTCTCCGGGGACCGACGTCGAGGTACGCTGATCGTCCTGCCGCTAACCATTTGCGCAAACCAAATGTATGCACTCACCGAGTAGCTCCCTAGATTCGTCAACTGATGCAGTGCCGTTGTATTATGAATACACAGCAAAACAGGGGAAAACCTTGGTTATTGCCATGTACATGAGTGTCTTCGCAATCCTAGGAGCACTGGTCCGAATCATCTTGGCACAACTCTTCGGTGAAGAATGCTCAAACCCTGGAACAGTCGGTTGGCTTGCAGCATCATCGCCACTTTGTGTAACTGCAGATGGATCTGCTCAACGCGAAGGTGGGATTATCTTTGCAGATCTTCCTGCCAATCTCATTGGATCGTTCGTGATGGGAATGTTGCAATCTACTGAAACGATGGGCTTACCAGTCTCTGTTCCTATCGCTTGGGTGACAGTAGATTCGTGGTTCCAACATTGGGACATCATTCATCTCGCTATGCGGACTGGATTTTGCGGATCATTGACCACATTTTCATCCTGGAATTCGGCGATGGTTGTACTGATTTTCGGGACGGGCTCAGACTACACGACACAAGTTGTACGTGCCGTATTTGGATATGTGATCGGTATGGAAACAGCCTTGGGATCATTTGTTTTCGGCAAAAAGGTTGCTGAGTGGATCTTCCGATGGAGGAACCCATCAATGTGGCAAGAGGCGATGCTGAGTGCAGAAAAGAAGGAAAACGGTGTGTATGTTGATAGCGAGTTGCCAGAATTTGAGCGTCGATTTCTTGCAAATCTGGACATGCCAGCTTTGTGGGGGGATGTCGATCCCGATGGATTGGAATTCTTGGCGAGGTGGAGGCTCTCAACCGAAGGTGCCCGAAGACTTGGACACGAAGACCTTGAAACTCTGAAAGAACTCGAACATAGAGTCCTGTCGCAGAGAAACACGTTTTTACCAGAGGATGACTCCGTTTGCACTGTGAGAGGTTGGGATTTGGGGTCTTTGGTGAAATGGACTCAAGGAATGGCACCTTTATCAGAGCCGATTCCCAATGATCATTTCTTGTTTATGCCGATTGTGTCTGTCGGCCTGTTTGTTTGCCTATATGGACTGCTTGTTGCTGGTTTATTGTTGAATAATGGAATTACTGCTTATGCTGTGACGAGCAAAACTATGGTATTCGCACTCATGTGGGCTCCCCCTGGTGCGTTGCTTCGATGGCAACTTGGTGGCTTCAACGGGAAAGTTGGAGGTGATTGGTCGTGGCTGCCGGCTGGAACTTTGGCCGCCAACATTTTTGGATCTGTGGTTTCAATCACGGCAATCGCTGTGGAGTACGTCTCGCCAGCAAAAGGATTCTGGACAACTGGTACACTTCGCTCTTTAAAGATTGGATTCGCTGGATCATTGACAACTGTGTCAACGTTCGTTGCAGAGGTACACACATTTGCTTCGAAAAAGGAAACTCAGGATCGAGCGTATATCTACATGCTCATGTCTCTCCTCCCGTCTTGTCTGCTCGGCATGCTCATTTTTGGTGTCATCTGTTCAGGGAAGGGATACTAAGGTCAAGGCGGGTACGAGTTTTAGAACGTTATGCATAATTGTTTGTTGCCTTAGTTCTCATTTTCTCAAACGGGAGGTTCTGTTGTGCATCTCTTCTCATCACAACTAGTATTCCCAACGCATGTAACACACTCCTCTCCGTTAGCCTGAACTTGAATCGTAGCATGTTCAATTCCTTGTTTTTTGATGACGCTATACAATTCTACCAATACACTCTGCGGATCGTTCATCGTACTGCAATGAACAGTAAGCGTCGGATGGCCGTGCGAAATCGACCAAATGTGCAAGTCATGCACATTCTCGACCCCTTCCACGCCCTGAATAGCATCGTACACGTCGCGCCACTTGATGTTCGGCGGGACCTCTTCCAACAAAACGGAAATCGAGCTTCGCAACACTCCTAAAGTCGAGTAGAAGACGATCGAGCAGAAGAAAAGTGTGCAGATTGGATCGATGATGCGCCAATCTGGACGATACCAAATAACGACACCGGCAATGAGGACACCGACAGATTGTGCAAGGTCACCCATTACATGCAGGTACGCAGCATGAAGGTTGACGTTGCGTGGTGCTTTCTCTGGACGGACTTCGTCGAGGTGCAACGATTCGTATTGACCACGACTGTGCTCCGAGATCAATTTGGTAGTTTCAGTTGAAGTGTGGTCGTGTGAATGTTCGTGATCACTTTTGTGTTTACCTGTATGTGTCTCGTGGTGGTCGTGGTGATCGTGGTGATCATGACCCTTACAGCTATGACCGTGATCGTCTTCCTTGGAATGATGATCATGCGTCGCGGTACTCGAGTGATTGTGACCGTGCTTATGATCATGATGATCATGACCATGTTCACAATCATGGTGATCATGTTCCCTATGTTTATGATCATGGCCATGGTCGGTGTGATGATCGTGGCCATCACATTTGTGGTCGGTTCCATGTTCATCATGATGCCCCACAGCGCGGTCGTGTCCATCGCAACCATGGTCATGACTGTGACCATGATCAGCACCCGGCAAGTGCACATGATGTTCCACCCCGAGCACCAACGCTAACACAATGTTCACAAACACACCAATTGCGGCAACCCCGCTCATGATTCTGCCATCCACTGCGGCGTCATGAATGTAGAGACGTCGAATAGCTTCCACGGCAAGCCAAATGGAAACAAGTGCCAAACTCAGCATAGAGATGAGGGCCGCTAACGACTCAGATCTTTTTAAACCAAAGGTATGCTGATCTGTCGTTGGCAGGGACGCCAAGTGGGCTGCAACGATGGCGATCGCAAAGCTGGCGAGATCGGCGAACAGATGAGCAGCATCTGAAAGAACAGCAAGGGATCCGGACAAGTAGCCTCCAACCACTTCGACAATCAGGAAACAACTGCAGAGCAAGGTTGCAGTATAGAGTCGTCTAACGACATCTATGCGATTTGCAGCGTCGGCATCCGAGGAGACCATCGTCAACTAACAAATATGAACAAGCACGTGTCACGGGTCACGGGACCGTCAGAAATATGCAGGTAAACTGCGATTCAGTGTCAACGGCTAGGATCCTTCGGAAGGCAACCGTGTGGCTTATCCTTCGACATGCGGGCATGTGCCCGTGCAAGTCAGGCAAATGTGCAATTTAGCTGTCTTCGATCCAGTTTGAAATCTTCATTTGCCAGTCCTCCTCGTCCAGTGCGAAGGCCCCACACGTCGACCATCTGGGTCACGAACTGACAGCCACGTACCAGTTAAAAATGGCTTTGAGCCCTTAAAAAAAATTGAGCCACTAAATGGTGTAATTTTCACGACCTCTACAAAAAAGGTGCTCAATATCATTCTAATTACCGCTTCACATACGGCAATGACGTTCCTTGCCATGTGCACCTACTTTCCTTTGCAGTGCAAAACAGGCATTTTGGAAGCCGCGGTTTTGATGAACGCACTGGATGTTGGTACCTCGGAGATTTTGCACATCTCAAATTTTCCACCATTGAGCCGGGCCACCAATTTTATGTAGACATTCCATGCAGTATTTTTTTTAATCATTGCGAGAAATATAGATAGCTGCTTAACTGTAGTTCCCACGCCATGTACTTCACGTGATGAATTATATTAGGTTTTGGCGTGTTACCAAATTGCGACGTAGAATCAGCGTAGCAGTACAAAGAAATTGGATGACGACGATGATGAGATTATGTTGAATGGGGTAAAAAAACTCAACGGACAAATATTGAAAAATATTCAGGTATATATATAAACGAGTAAATTGCTTAGAGCCATTAAACCGAGAACGACGCTTCTAAAAGCATCAATATCTTCATGAATTCTTTGTCCAGTATAGAAATGATTCAACCATGATGAAGCATAAAGAATGATCGACATATGTGGCACTTAAAGTTGATTGCATTGCGTCAGATTTTCATTGAGAACTTTTTTAGTCCAACATGGTGTTTTTTAATGACTCAAAGCCATTTTTAACTGGTACCACGTACTGTACCGCCGATACTCACAAGTACCGTACTGCGTTGGAACAGATGGAGTTCTTGAAATGTTACTACTTGTGCAATGTACGAGTATGAATACATACGAATGTGCGAATGCGAAGTACTCGGAGTACTCCTCTACTAGAAGTGCAAGTACAAGTACAACTATCATACTTGTACTTGTTACTGCGTTCCTCACAACAACCCCATACAATCAACCATACTGACAAGATTCATACGCCGTACTCGCAGGAGTAGTTGCACCGGTACCTTGTACTACAGTAGAGTTGATTTCTACATTGAACTGATTCGAGTTTCGCGAGGTAGTTAACCTGATAAACTATATAATGTAATATTAGTGTGTAAGGTTCATACGGGGAAATAGCTCAGTTGGTAGAGCGCGTGCTTAGCATGCACGAGGTCCCGGGTTCGATTCCCTGTTTCTCCATTCTTTTTGTCTCACTAAGGCGGTGTGTATACAGCAAAAAAAAATACAAACTTGGATCCAAGTTTCCAAGTTCCCAACGGAATCTTAGGAATGAATTTGAATGTTAAATTTCGTCCTGGTCCACTGGCATGTATACAGCACAATTGAAAACTTTGAATCCAAGTCGGAAACTCCCAAGTTTTCTTTTGAAGAAGACGAACGTGAGTAGCATTCTACTACCAGTAGACAAATGTTTTTGAGTGAAGATTCGTAAGGCGTCACGCATCATGCATCATGCACATACTGCATACTCCATGCAGGACCATGGACTTGTTACTAACTCTCTATCACTACATCATGACTGCGACCGACAGCAGTCAAGCAATCTTCAACCGATATGCCTGAGTCTCATCAAGGAGGCAAAATGAAAAATAGCGGAATGAGTGCGAACAAAATGAGAGTGCAAGGAGAGCAACAGGAACAAGGAGAGCAGACGAAAACGAGAGCGAGAGCACCAGCAAACGCAACGAGAGCAACGACGAGAGCGAGAGCAGGAAACGACGAAGCGAGTGGAACAACGACAGCAAGAATGAGTGTGATAGTGCAAGACTGCGAAAGCGAAATGAGAGCAAGTTCAAGAGCATGAACGAGAGCACAAACGTAAGCACAAACGAGAGCAAACAAATTGTAGAGCAAGAGCGAGAACGAGCGCGAGCGATCAAGAATGAGAGTGCAAGGCAAGAGCAGCAACGAGCAAGAGCAAACAAATGAGAGCGAGAGCAGCAAACGGAGCGAGTGTGAGTGGAAGGGCAGGAACGAGAAGAACAAACGACAGCAAATAAAAGCAAACGAGAGCTCGAAACAAGAGGAATGAGAGCTGGATTAAAAGCAAGTGCAAGAATGAAAATGGAAATGCGATGCTTGAAGCAATGGCTTGCACTACTATCTTAGACTAAACAGCTAAAATAGGACTAGGGGGATCATTAAGTGGCTGATGAGCACCCTCTGGTGTAGCCTTATTGCTCATCATTAAAGTGGTGCACAACAATGATGAACGATGAGTGCACTCCATTTTTAGTGCATCGTAGCAAGGGAAACGCGCGCAAATTGAGCGCATGCGAAACTTGGATAACCAAACTTGGCTAAAAAAATGTGGGCAACTTGGATCTCCAAGTGGATCAAAGTTGAGTCTTACTAACTCGGAAATCCAAGTTAAGTCACGAATTAGGGAATCTATTTTGGTTTTTGGAAGTGAGATTCCGTTGGAAACTTGGAAACTTGGATCCAAGTTCGGAAAATTTTTGCTGTATACACACCACCTAAGTAAGATCGTACAGTAACAGAAGACTTGGATTTTCTTCGCCCATCACGAAAGTTGGGGATGCTACCTATTTTACAGCACAGAAACCGTTTAAAACCTATGCTTGAAGCTTGAAGTGACATTTTTTTGCTGGCTATCAGGATGTGTATGAAACATTGAGCAGCAAAGGACCACTACCGGTAGTAAAGGTTTTGATACTTCTTGCATTGCTGGTTGTTCAGGAACTGCATTCAAGGACTTCATTCAAATGAGTTTCACTTCAGCACTTTTCCATCTCAAATTCTACTATACAATTTGACAGATGATTGATTGCAATGTGTTTATGCAAGAGTCATGACGCATTCAGATGCAAGATGCCTCTTGTCATGCACAAAGAACTGCATGGCATTCCAGGAAAGGTTGGAAGTCTGGATGGTATGCATGTGTTTGGAAGAATTGCCCTGTTGCCTGTCAAGGACCTCAGTCCAATAAGCCATGTAGGACAACCAATCTACTTGAAGCATTTGCTGATCACAACTTGTCATTTGGTATCACTACTTTGGCAGGCCTGGGTCCCTAAATGGCATTACCATCTGGAATCATAGTTGTCTCTTGGAAGCTTTTCTTGGTGGCTCATTTTTCAATTGTTGATTGTGAAGATGGATTGCAGTGGGAGGGATTTATCCCAAGCTAATCAAGGAACGTCTGCTAGAGTGGTGAAAAAGATATGAATTCACGATCTAGTTTCTGAGAGGGACTAACATACAATCTTTACAAGCCCATAGCATGGATGAAGGGTGACCCAAATTCACTTCTACACCGAAGCAAAAGCTTGTAATGAACGGAGAGTAGAAGTGAGTAGGTTATCTATTGGGTCTTTGGTCACATTTTTCTAACGGTCACACTGTACGACTGTATGGGATTACACACAGATACAGCACCTACGTTGATTTACCATAAACAAAACCTGGGTTCACATCAACGAACGACTTATAGATAATATCCATAGATTATAGTCGGCAACTCTTCCAATTGCGTCAGGAATCTCAATTATCCATGTTGTTCGTACAAACCGAGCTGGTCAACTAATCCCGCTTGTCAGCTGCTGCTGCCGCACTCGCCTGCACCACCTGCAAAAGTTGCGAGAGCCATTTTTGAACCGTTGCATCATTCGTTAAGGACGCCGCAAATGTATTGTCGCGCAAGGAATTTGGCAAACATGTGTGGAGTGCCTCACGCGCGCGATCGTGATCAGCAAGTCTCAAATAACAGCGTACAACGTGCTTGAGCAAACGGACCGAAGGGTGCGCTTGGAGCAGCAGAACCATGTTATTGAGCACTGTAGAGACGGCGTAGAAACGTTCGGCAGTGGCACAGACATAGTTTAGGCCGGCGTCGTCAAGCAAAATCTTTTGGACGATAAAAGTGGCGACCGTCTTGCTGAGTTCAGACCCAGTCTCCATAATGCGCAAACAAAGAGGAATAATTTCAGTTTGTAGGAGAAACGAAATTACATGCGAATCATCCACCTTGACCAGAGCTCCAATCACCCCCAAGGATGTCAGTCGCAGGTACTCGAAAGGCCGTGACTTAGAGTTAGTGTTCAGGAATGGATACAGATAAAGCGGTATGTGCGCTGCAAGAAATGGAGCTCGCGTATCTTGGTGCGAGGCCACGCACTGCAATAAGGCTAGAGCATTGCACACGCGATTCGAAACGTGAGCTGTCAGGGTCGGTGGCGTCAAGAGAGGATAGATAGAAACAATCTCCTGCAATAAGGCCGCTACTGTTCCAGGTGAATGCCAGAGAATGGGTGCCAAATCAGGAAATGATTCGCGCTTCTTTGATAACTCTAGGAGGACGACTTCTCTCTGTATAATTCATGAGGATGGTTTAGACAAATGCAACAGCGCAATAGAAAGTGATGGCGAGAATCGTGGAAACGAGGAAAACATTAGGCCAACCAATGTTCATTTCGCACCTGTTCAGCATTCGTCAACTGCAAAACCAAAGGCAACAGTTCATCCATACCCGATGTGCCACTCGAGGCTTGTACAGGACCGAGAGCTGTGTTTGCCGAAGCAGTCTCCATGATCAACGGTGACTGCAGCATGACGATCGATCTTAGTTGTGATGAGCGTGTATGTCGGTAAGAGCGAGCCTTTGCCACTACGGTTTAGTACCAATGTAAACGTAGTAAGAGTGCAAGCACTGTCTACCTGGTACTCCAAGTTCCTGGTACAGTACCACTTCCAAATTCGCGTCTGGGAGGCACTGGTACGAGTAGTTGTAAGTTGCATATTGTACTACGTGGTACTGTACTAAGCCTCTACTACGGTAGTCTACGGAGTACTGGCGTACGGAGTACTTGTACTATGGTCTATGGTATGACACTCCGTGAAGTCGGAACGTCCGGTACTGCAGTACTCCAGTATCTACAGTGGACTAGTCGTACGAGAGCACTACAGCAGTCCGACAGAACCCCGTACTGGTACAAGTACCTGACAGTATTCGTGTGATCGGTACGCGAGTACTGGCCGACGGTAGACTTAAGGTTAGTAGGACCTAGGAGTCTGCCGTCGGACTTGACGGGAGAGGAAGCGAACGTGACGGATCGTCCAGCTTTGGGCGTAGGAGTCCTGAAGATGTGGACCATGATGGTAGATTTGTTGTTACAAATATGTAGAAGATGTAGAACTAAGTAGTAAAGGCCTTTACTGTTTTTGGTTTGTGGAAATTATAAGTTAAAATGTAGATGAAAAATGAAAGTGAGATCTCCAATATTAGTTGGAGTCTCACAAAAGTTATGTTGCTTTAATCCCACTTGTTGAGTGGTGTTTGAGTTATGAATCCCATAGTAAAGTTGTGTTGTCAATAAAATTGACAACATAACAGATTTGAATACTTAGGAAACTCAGGGCAACATGATTTAAATTCCTTGTGTGGTCGCGGGATCCAGAGTTCTGATTCGCAGAACTACTGGACGAGTCACGGACAGACGAAGGAAAATAAAGGACTGTCTACCGTATTACCGTATGGTATTTAACCTTACAGTAATTACGAGTGACAGTGTGACAGAGTGACAGTAGATCTCTAACACCCCTCTTGGATCAGATCTCTGGTCCCGGTGATGAAAGCATGTGGTCGGGAGAACACAGAAGATCTTGGTGAGGTGAGGATCAATTTTGCCGGAGTGTTGAGTCTTGGTGAGGATATCGGCAAGTTGAGAGTCACAGGGAATCCAATGAAGTTGGTGGATGCCGTCTTGTTGGCCTTGACGGACGAAGTGGAAACGGCGTTCAATGTGGCGAGTTTTGCGAGTGAGTTTGCCATTCTTGGCGATTTGAACAGTTGCTTCATTGTCAATCATGAGGATGGCAGGGATAGAAGGGAGACGTTGAGTGGTTTCACGCCATTGTTTGGTGCCAAGATAGAGCATATCATAGAGAAGCATTCGGATGTGAGCGGTGGCCATGGTTGCGGAACATGCAGCCATATATTCAGCTTCAGAGGTAGACATGGCAACAGGTGTTGGCATGGTAGAATTTGCTTCAATAAGAGCACCATTGTAGAAGATCATGTATCCAACAGTAGATCGGCCAGTATCGGGCAGTCTTGCCAGCTGGCATCAGAGAAGACAGTGAGATCAGTGTATGGAATGCGATGATGGATGCAGATGTCATAGATGGGGTTTGAAGTGCCATCGGGATAGAATTTGAGG